ATATATATATATGGGTCGGCGGCCTGGGCTGACATCCACTGTGAGCAACCTGAAGTGCCAATCGTAATGGTAGTCGCTGGGGCGTCTGGCGGAGATGGCGTTATTACCCGACAGGACAAGGCGTCTGCATTTTGGTGCTTCTTGCCGGCGCGATGGACGGTCGTGTACGAGTACTCCGAGAGGTCTGCCTGCCAGCGAGCGAGTTGGCCAGTTGGATCCTTGAAGTTCTATAATCAGCGCAGCGCTTAGTGATCAGCGCGTATTATGAACGGTTGCCGGTCAGATAGTGGTGGAACTTCTTAACGAACGTTAAGACGACTAGAAGGTCCTCCCGAGTAGTGGAATAATTTCGCTCGGGCTTAGAGAGAGACTGATTGGTAAAAAGGAGAGGATGCTCGAGTCCGTCCGCCTGCTGTTGGGAAAGGATCGCCCCAATGTCTATATCAGAAGCGTCTGTGTCCAAAATAAAGGGAGGGGCTGAGCCCGAAATTTTAGCGAACGCCAACAGCGGGGGTGAAGTAAGACGACGTTTGAGTTCCTCAAAAGAGCTAGCGCATTCATTAGACCAGTTTAAACCATTGTTTAAGCCAATTTAGAGGCGCCGCTACACGCACGATATGTTTGATAAAGCTGCAGTAATAGGAGGCTAGACCAAGTGAACCACGCAGTTCAGAAACGCACGTAGGCTGTGGCTAGCGTTGAATCTGTTTAGTTTTTGCGGGATTGGTCTTAACTTTGTCAGTAGATACAATGTGACCCAAGAAGGGAACAGAGCTCTTCAGGAAGCAGCTTTTTGCTTTATTCAGTTTAAGACCTATGTCCTGGAGATTGGTAAGATGGGACTACACCGTGGGCCCGTGGACAATCACATCATCCAGATAAACAAGACACGCGGAATGGCACAAATCCCGTAAGACCGAAGCCAACAAGCATTAAATAGTCGCAGGCGCGTTCATCAAACCAAAGGGCATGGTCTCAAACGCATATAACCCCGGGGAAATAACAAAGGCAGTCTTTCGGTGGTCTTCGGGCTCCATTTCCACCTGTCAATAACCAGACTGTAAATCCAGCGTCGAGAACCAGGCAGCCCCGGCCAGCGCCTCCAAGGTATTATCAATAAGAGGGAGCGGGAAGGAATCTTTCAACATAACGGCGTTCAGCTTGCAGTAGTCGACACAAAGTAGCAGTGAGCCATCCTTCTTTTTAACCAGAACGATCGGAGAGGCACAAGGTGAAGAAGATAGACGAATAACGTGCATTTTCTGGAAATGGACTGATACCCGGCGAGGGGATTGACGAATTGGCCTGGCCAAACCCGCGTCAATGGTGTGCTGCATGATATTGGTTCTACCTAAGGGTTCACCATCCCATGAAAAGGTAGATGAGTTGCGACGGCTAAGGTCAGGCACGGCAGCCACCTGCTCGGAAGAGTAATCAGGGGAGTCGGGAACTAGGCGAGCCAGATCGAACGGCTGAAGTAGAGTAGAACCTGCTGACTTGCACCCGGGCTGCTGCACAGAGGCGTTTGGGAAAATAAAAGAGAACCGTAGTCGTCTGAAACGTGAGCTGACAGGTAGCAAGGTCTATGCAAAACCGATAAGCGTACAGGAAATCGGCCCCTAGAATGCCCTGCCACTGAATATCCGAACAAACGTAAAAAGGATCCTGAAATTCAGAGGAACCAAGGCGGATCGGTACGTCGATTAAAGACGAGAAGGAAAGAGTCATGCCATTGGCCGCCATGATGCGAGGATGTCGATGG